ACCAAGTCTTAACATTGTTGGTAGTTGTTGGTCATGGTTGGTAGTTGTATCTAACAGTACCACCAAGTCTTAACATTGTTGGTAGTTGTTGGTCAAGGTTGGTAGTTGTATTCAACAGTACCACCAAGTCTTAACATTGTTGGTAGCTGTTGGACATGTTTGGTAGTTGTATCTAGCAGTACCACCAAGTCTTAACATTGTTGGTAGTTGTGGGACATGATTGGTAGCAGTGTCCAAAACGTCCCGTCAAGTCTTAGCTTGTAGTGTTAAAATCGTCTTCTGACATTACCAACAGAACTGTCAAGAGAAAAGTGTTTGCGAGTCTTGCAGATGGAAGTGTTGTCGTGTTCAAACCAAATAAAGGTAAATGGCTATCAATATCTGTCCTAGAGCCTCTCCTAAAGACTGTCAAAGCAGTTAGTGCAAGGGATCCTTAAGTTTGTAATCAGTCAACAAACTGTTTACGTTGATATGAAAAGATTCTTTTCATTCACATTTACTTTTCATTCTTCTAGATGGTATTTGGGACTTCAGCAAGCCTAAAGCAATTGGCCTCAGTAAGCTACCAGTAATGAGTATGGCTCTAGTCAAAGTCACAGGAACCCTGTGGTGCGGTAGCAGTAATCAAATCCACGTGCTTGATTACAAAAAGGAAATAGTAATGGTAATGAGTTAAACTGAGTTTATCCCTCTTCATCACTGTAAATACAGCAGAGCATGCATTACGCAGCTCAGTGAGGTTGATCTGAAAGCAGTGTGAAGGCGCCGCTGTACTCTCCAGTATAGTGTACAATGACAAGGCAGTATTGCGATGTTGTCACTTCTGTCGTGATTTTAAGCACGCATTTTCACAATAAAATGTTTGAAAGGTAACAGTTTTTCAGGAGAGCCGTTGGTATATACCGTGCTGCTTTTAGTGGCTATTATATATGACGTTATTATTCCTAGTCAGTCAAAGATAGTTCTACAGATATTGGTTTGCATATAAATAATGGTCTGTCGGTAAGGAGTTATTTTGTTCAATTTTTTAGAACGTAATCGACGTGGATCCCAGCTCCAAGGTAACCGTTCGTCACCTCGTGTGCTATGGTATCGGTGTTTGGGTGTCTCTATGGAAACAACCGACAATTAAGCTTTTCCACAGCGAGACGATGAAACATGTTCAGGACATGAATATAGCGTACACTGTTAATACCATGCAGAATGGTAAGGGGATCAGTAAATATGAAAATTTGAAATTTAATCCAGAAAATTATTAATTCGTTTGTGATGTTACTTTATTTTAGATATTGATTCTCAGCTGGAGAAAATCAAATCGACTAAACTGTGTGTGACATGCATGGTGGCAGATGAAGGCTTACTGTGGGTGGGGACAAGTGTAGGTCTTGTACTATTGTTCCCACTCCCGCGCCTTGATGGAATCCCACTGGTGTCGGGACGAGCGTGTGTATCCTTCCATGCATACCATGGACGCGTACGTAGTATGTACCCTTTAAAAAACAACCCAAACGCCGAGGTACCTATTGGATCAGGTTCGGGGAATAAGAAAAGATACCAGCTGTTCAAAGAACACGAGACGCGGGATGCCTGTGTTCAGACTGACGCAGGGATTTCTGGGTCTAGTTCTTATGCTGCAAATGGTCCTCAGCCGGCAAGAAATGGTAAGCAGTCGCTTCTAGCTTTATCACAGTTACTACAATAACCACCCATTTATCACAGATATTTAGAGAGATGATTTGAAAGGCCTAGCCCTTTCAACATATTATAGGCTTAATGTAATTTTGTTTCCTATCGATAAAACAGGAAATGCAAAACCTAGTATGTCGTCGAAAGCACCCCGAGCAGATGCCGATGATGAGGAAGATGACGAAGATATACATTCGGACGACGACTTTTCTTTTGTCGAAGACCAAAAGAATTATGTACCGCCAGGGACATCTTTGACAAGCAGTTCAAACTACACAGTACGAATCGGAAGTACACAAGGTAATGGTGATATTAATAGTAGTGGTAAATTATCCAATCAGATTCCAGATTTAGCGGACACGGATTTTGTTCAACTGATGGAAGATTTTAAAGGCTTTGGCACTTCTCCAAGTGCCTCGGTTCCAGACCCTCCTGATGTCTCGGCAGTTTTGATAACCGGAAGTATCTCCAAGGAGCTAGATAAAACCGAGGACAGCACATCTACAAGAAATAAGACCACGAAGTTGCAGAATGGCGAAAGCGCCTCGGCCGAGAATAACAGTATGGCAACAGCTGGTAGTTCTCTATCACCCAGTAGCGATAGCAGTTATAGCTTGAAACCTCAAGGTACAGCGCTCGGAAAGCTTTCGACTGAATTTCGAGAACGAGTTCCCTCAACAGGACAATACGTTAAACTGAGTGAAGCTCAGAAAGATGCCAAAGCGATAGGTGAAGCACTAGATGTGGGTAAGCCAGCTGACAACAATGATGTTAATCAAGTGGAGGATGTGAAAGCAGTAGATGATGCATTAGACGCTGCCTTTAGTGATGATTTAGATAACACAGAGAGTAAACCAAGTAACGTCACTTCAGACAGCCTCGGTGAATCTGCGGATTATGTATCGTTCGTTAACTCTTCCCCAAGGCAATCAAACATTCGTGATTCAGATTCTGATAACGAGTCGATGAAGAAAACCAATGACAGTTGTTCTTTATTTTCCCCTCCGTCCTCTGATGCCCAGTCTCCCGACAAGGGAGAAAGTAAGAAGATTGTCAACTTGAAGCCAAAGCTCAAATATCCAGTCCTACTCGTCACGGCTGGGGAGGGACATTTGGATCAAAGACGTAAGAAGCAAGAGACAAAAAGTACAGAGCCGAGAATCATGATATGGCAGATCAACTGACAATATTTTGCGTTTTTGTTAGAAGACATTACTTTAAAAAAAAAAATTATAATCTGATCAAATCTCTGTAATGGTATGCAAATATTGCGGCAGCGGATTGGATTGAAGGCTCCGCTTTCTATGCGCACTTAGAATATAGCTCTGTTTTCAAATATCTCCAATCTAGGGAATGCTTTCAAAATGTAAATCAAATGTAAATGTCCGTTTACATGATGTACCACAATGAGTTAGGCAAGTTTAGATATAGAAAAGGGTAGGGTGTCAGTATAGAGCGTTTTCATTCACGTGAGAAGGCAGCCATATTGCTGTACCAAACAATAGAAACTTTCTGCACAGTTTTGCATAAAAATAACGTTCAATTCTCCGAGGAAAGAACATATATGATACAACAACATGGCCGCTGTGATGTCACGTGAAAACGCTCTATAATAAAGGGGAAGATAAGACTGTCCGGGCGGAGTACCCCCGTACTTTGAATTACCTACCGACGGGACAAAAACCACATCTTTTGTCACAATCAACCAATATGGCGACTATGACGTCACCTGCACTGCATGATTTTTTCGCTTTGCGGAGTGGCACCTGTTTTTTTTCCGCGGCAGCGTTCCTCTACGAAGGACCAACTGGCGCACTTGATCGTGCTCAATTTTACTGACGTTTGTCCCTCAATTGAAAGATGCGCACTAGACATTAGATAGTATGCAACAGCAGAATCTTAAAAACCGCATGTTCACGAACAAAGTAGTCTCTAGCTTCGGTAGAGTAAAGCCTGGTTCTCGCAAGCAGACGTAACTCCATGTTTCTCACTATTAAAAAAAGGAGCTCAAGAGAACGAAAGATTTTGTTTTTCGTTCGTTGGCTTGCGTTGTTAGTGGAAACCAGGCTTTACATTTTGAAATATTCATTGATAAAGTTTTTTTAGATGATTTTATTAATATAAATTGATATATTTTTTATTGGCTTAGTATTTTAAATTATCTTATAATTCAACAATGTATTGAAGATTGAAACTTGTAATATTCAGATAATATAAAATGTAAATAATGGGACAGTGTCGCTCTGCGGTCACTGGTTGACAGCAGGACTATATTTTTCCCCAGCCTATAAGAATGACTTGTTATTTTCTACTAAAGCCGGTAATTATGTTTCGCTGCTCAATAAACGATAACAATTTGCTACGTATTTTCTGGTTTCCATTTTTACGCCGAATCCTCGTTACGTTATTTGCTTAGGTCCAAACCCGGCAAAATGGACAAAGTCCATTGTAAAAGTCCAAAGTAAAAGTCTCGTAGAAGAGATAACTAGCTAAAAACTAGTGTGAGCTGGCGTCGGTGTTTCTAATGAAACAGTAATGATAAAAGGGTAAATTATAGACCGTGAGAAGATGAAAAAACTTACTGACGTTTCGGACGCTAGTCCGTCGGAGTAAAAGAGAATTTTTTATAATTATTTATCGGTTAAAATGCGAGTGTTTGGAAAAATAAAAAACCTTGTGCTTTGAAACTATTGGAACACCAAAAACATGCAATTTATTACTGGCTGCTCTATCTGTAAATAGCGTTTTAAGATATTGCCGATTTTTTTCTGACTCTGGCAACTGGCAACGCCTTGTATTAAATACCTTAAGAATTAACAAATTGACATCAGATTTTTATGTGTCTGTCCTCTTTTTTACGATAAATTGCGTCATCACATTGTCAAAGTACATGTAGTGTGGATCCGCATACTACTTTGACAATGTGATGACGAAATTTATTGTCAATAAGAGGACAGAAACATAAAAACCTGATGTCATTTTGTTTTTTACAATAACAAAAACGATAAAACCTTCTAATTTTTACTGATCAAAACAACCAACGGAAAGAGCGCGCGCTCGTTGACGTCAGCTTATCTGTCTGCCCTCTTATTGATGATAAAAAATAACCAATCAGCGCGCGAGAGATTTCTAAAAAAAAGTGAGCGCGTGCTGTGTGCTCTTATAATGCACCTGCTCCCAACCGATCAGAAGTGGGACGGCGCTAATAATAAATGTACGGGAGGAAGGTGGGGCTGGGTTATAGATGTTCTTTGACACTACAGCATACTGATTTAGTCAAAATAGTCATTTTAAAATTATTTCAATTTTAAAAATGATGGTGATAATTGTTCTTAGTTGTCTCCTTAAAAAGTACTGTGCAATTTGTGCGCACTTCATTACATCAGGGTATCATGTTAATATTTAGCATGAACTTATCGAAAATGGTTTGAAATGGTGCCAAGAATCACAAGATATTTGGAAGGTTCCAAGTATAGTATGCTAAGTATGCTATCAGTGATCAATTACCTGTCGTTGCGGTGGTCGCTAAGTTCATGTCCCCCCATACTCGAAATGCAGTGTCCTTGAGCAATCATTAAAAGCATTTTACACATTAATCAAATGTCTGTAGGGATTTACGTACATTAACCCTTGGTTTTCGGGAAGCGGTTCAGCTTGTTGCATTCCTGAACTGCTGTTAATAAGTGATATGTGTTTGTGATATGTGCAGATATGTGATTATAATCATCATTGTGTCTTGGGTTCACCTAAATATATCACAGCACATTGATGTGATTAGTTTCATGTTTCTAACGCCATCTCGYCTAACCATCCGTCTAGCTCTCGTTTGTCTCAAAAGCTCTCCTCACCGGCCGTCCCAGTCTGTGAATTTGTCTGTGTCTAACCAAGGTACAGGCGAGACTTTAGCTTCCTGCTTGTCTGTTCTAGTGACTTTTCACTGGACTAGCGTTGGAATGTTGCCTTTGGACTGAACTATCCAAACTAGATCGTTTTTCGCGGGCTTTTTTGGAACAGCTATGCTTTCTTGATCAATTGCTTACCTGAGGACCTACTGGTCTGTTAACTCTTAACATTCTTCGCATACTTGCCAATGTTGACCCCTTCTCCTGATAGTCTTGATTAACAATAAAGATGCTATATCTATTGAATAAGGGCGAAAGACGTTTTTATGAGGTCACGAAGTTTGCGATACTCACTGACAATCATACGCCAGTCAAAATTATTAGGCATTATTAGTAGTTATTTTAAGGATTTAAGTCCTCTTTAATGAGACATAAAGACACAAACTAGACGAAATGTTATCTCTACTTTATAAAAGAAAATGAAAATATTCAAAGTCACAATATGCAGTAGCTTTTAAGATACACAAAAGGGAGTATCTTACTAAGTTCCAATTACAGTACGTCAGTACTTGCTTTCCAAGCTTTCTATATTAAGAATTACTTGTTGACAAGCGCCCCGGGAGCGCAAGTGACGCTGACATCACTTTCATAAAGAAAAGCACGAAAACTAGATGTGGTACTTTAAAGAGATTTTGATTTAGATTTCATTTGAGTTTATCCATCCACCGGTATTAGGTCACGATCGCCATATTAATTGCGTCTGCTTAATGCTGGCGCCAAAACGTCTAAAGAGTAGTCGAGTATTTATGTTGTATGATATCTAAGACGATATTAATCTCTACTCGGTGCCGTCCGTCGAGACAAAAATAACTTTAGAAAGCCATCAACACTAAAGGTACAAGTCTTTAGGAGTACGTGCTTCCTATTGAACCTTGTCGCCTACAAGTCTGAGACCCTTGGAAAGACTGAATAGGAAAAAGGTCAGTAACAAATGTCGCTCAAATTTTATCCGCATCAATTGACTAGAAACGCCTTTTTGGTAGACCTCTTACCTCGGTTATAAGAACTGGCCTTGGAAAAACAAGGGCGAATTCAGGGGGTAAATTGGGTGACTCCTCCCCCCCCCCCCCCCCCCCCCCCCCCCCCCCCCCCCTCACATTATGAGATGTTGAAATCGTTCTGGAAAGAAGTTGCTTTCATTGGTGACGACGTCCTTAACGGCGGCAAACCTGGAATAAAAGCTTCTGCATGCTTTCTGATATCAAACTTATCGACTTGCAAGTTCAGTATTTTATTGGACTAGTATATTACGTATCTTAGTCTTGTGAAATGATGTGTTGTGTATTGGTTGTGAGATCGGTATTGTCTTTACAATGAGGAAGAAAACATTACTCAAAACTGAGAAAGACAAATTACATATTTGTGTGGGGGGAAATGTATCAAGACTGAGTAAAAAATAAAACCCTTTATACGAATTGGTTCGTGGAATGCCGGTCAACTGAGAAATTCTCCTCTGACTTACTGCAAATCCGCATCACCATGGAATACATCCAGAAGCATTTTTTGTAGTGGCAATGTTTGTGTGCTAAATATGATGATACAGGAAAGATAACAGTAAATGTACAAAAAGTATTATGAAGGTTTTCATTGGGAAAATCTGTCAATCTGATTTGGGAAAAAATGTTTTCATTGGATTAGTACGAAGTCGTGGGTCGTGGGTACGAAGTCGTGGGTCGTGGGTAAAAAGTCGTGGGTTCCATTTTTTTCCCCAAATTTCCAAATTTATCATTTCTTCACTATTCTTCTAAAACGAGATTGTGTGGCTTTCTTCCTGTAAATTCGCGAACTCGACTCGAAGTATTAACGTAAAGCTTATAGCTTTTTGTCTCTATTATTAGATTATAGGTTTTTTCATTAACCGGTAACGTCTATAAAATCCCCAAACTTTGCTGTCCTCAAAATTAGCTAGTCACGCAAATCTTGACCTCTTGTTTGTCATTGGTAGTTGTTAAAAGCAAATATTTTGAGTTTTGGCTTGATAATAGAAAACGAAAGGAGCATCTTATCAGATATTTCCATAAACTTTACACCAACAATTTGAAGCAAAAATAGACTATGTGAAAAGCGATCGAATTAGAAGTGTGTTGAGAATGATTCGAAATTCAAAAAAGTTTTTGTAGTGTCCACACAGCGTGAGCAATGCAGAGTAAAATCTAGGCTCTTTCCAGTCGCACCCAATAAGAAAAGATACTAGATCTCTCGTATACATTAAGACATAAAATCAAAATTTAGTTCCAATAAAACTGAATAAAAGGTTTGAGACTGGTGATGAAGATGAAGATGGAGACACGTGTTGGAATCTCCTAAACCGGCGATTATTCATTCCATGTAGTTGGTGGACATGATTTTTTAAAGAGCTGACTCTATTGGAATTTCCACTTTCCTTATAATTTAGGTATGGACCCGCAAAATCAAGAATAAAACATCGTTTTGATTATACTTACATCAAATCGGTTCTTCTCTAAGTTAGTGAATATAACTTCTTTGACCTTCCTGGTATTTAAGCCCAACTGATACGCTCCCGCTGCATAAAAGCAGTCCCTATCAACCTTGGAGTCGTAGGTAACGGTAAACCCCGCACTTTCGAGTCGTTTACTCAGGATTTCCATACTAACGCAGAGAACTACTAAGAAATAGTGAAACAAGCTTTCCCGCAACAACAAAAAACATAGAACGAGGAGAAACGCGATGCCGAAAACGCAAATTTGCTGTCCATCAACTTCACACGTTTGCAGCCGCTTGTCGCTCTAGTTTCTAGGTAACATCTTGATAAAGTCCATTGAAGACTCCTCGTTGAAGCGAGACAAGGTAGAAGACTAGTTGTTGTTTTTTCTTCTTTTTCTTTTTTTTTCCCGCCAAATTTATGTTTGAACAGTAAGGCCAATATAAATGAAATGTAAGAAAGTGCTAAAAGGTTTTCCAGGCCACCAATTGGTGTATTTTTATAACACTGTCACGCAAATCAGACACAGACTACCTTGCACAACCCACAATTACACCGAATTTATAGGAACAAAGCCACACGATTTCGTTTTGGAAGTATAGTGATAAATTTAACTTTATAAATGACTTCGTACCCACGACCCACGACGTCATACCCACGACCCACGACTTCGTACCCACGACCCACGACCCACGACCATTAGGCAAACTCATTAGTTGACAATATCCAATCTTGATCCTGTTATTAAAAAAGTTGTTAGCCAAAGAACAGTCTAGAGTCGATATTMTAAATCCTGGTTGCACCTCCATTTTCAAGAATCCAATCTTTCACGTTTTTAGTAATAGGACGTTTGCATAATGGCGTCATTTGACTCCCACTACCAAGATGTATGCTTTACGAATTTTCTTTCTTATTTCAATTTGTATTCCCTCATGAGAATAGTAAGATAATTGGTGCTAATTAACTGAAAAAAAGAAAGTGTGCAAGGGAATCTGGTAGTAAAGGTCAATGACGCCATCGT